AGTCTAGAATTCAGGTTTGATATCAATAGCCAATAAGTTACATCTAGCAAGTACTATGAACACTTTTTTTATATCAGAACTTAATCAACTTAATCAAGTAGGTACTTGATTTACAAGGTTATCTTACAGCAGGATTTTCTTAACTGGTTGCATGATAGGAAGAACTTCTTATCATGGTGGAACCAGTGGAGATGGAACTGTGGAACAGATGGAGCAGTGGAGCCCATTAACCCAGGAAAGCAATAACCCCTCTTTGTATTGGATGTATTTAAAGTGAGACTGAAAATCCATCTGAGATGTTTTAATAGGGATTCCTACATTGAGCAGAGGGCTAACCCTGAACAACTGCATGATTCTCTAATTCAGGTGTGCAATCCAGGTTGAAGACTTTTAAAAAATTGAAACAAAGTGGTTCGTACTTCAATGAATGGTTTAAGAGTCAGTTTGAATTAGATAGCCAAGAATAGGAATAACAACTGCAGGAAAGAGGCAGGTATAGGAAAAATACTTGATAAAGCTGGAGAAACAAAGCAGCACTAGTTCTTTCGTTTGATTTAGCTAAAAGCTTGATAAAAGCAGAAAATTAGATGTGATCTGATTGGTTTAGCTACTTATGAACTCCCAACAAATCTAAATTCCTAGATCTACTCATGTAAATTGTAGGAAAGGTTGTAGCTTCTGCTCTTGCAGAGCATCTCAGTCTTTGAGCTATCTTACTCTGCTGTTGCTGCTTTTCCCAATTAAAAATGGGAAAAAATAGTGGTGATCACATTTTGGCCAACTACCTGTCAGAAAGATTCTTGAAGGGACAGAGAGGGAGAAAGGTACCAGAGGCCTGTTTCATTTGAACTCTTCATTCCCCATCATAACAATGGGCCACTGATATTAACAGGCCATTGCCATTGCCACCAGTGAAAAATTGTTGTTTGCAAGAAACCTTGCTATATTTTATACCCTGTACAGTGTAATTATTAGGTGGAATAATAAATAATCAGATCAATTAACAACCACCTAGCCATGCCGATATATGTGGCTTCATGTTACATGGTAACATTAAGACATTAAACAAACCATGTCTTCGGCCAAGATTATAATCTAGCTTCAGTATGGCTTTGATTAATCTAATAATAATACATACATACAGCGTGGCAAATTACATATTATTTTTAATATGCAGTATTTAGCTAAATCTGTTTGGGAAAGTCTAAACTTGACCCATAGGAGATGAAATAGCCTGGTTCTTTATTCTGCAAGCAGAAAAGAGCCCTTCATTTGCTTCATCGGGGTCTTTTTGTTCCTTATTCAGGGAAAAAAGTCTCAGCGTGCTATGCATTAAAGTCAGGGTTTATTTTGTCTCCATGTAGAATTGCATTCTGTGGCTGAAAGGAACAGACTCTCTTAGTTAAATGCTTGTTTTGAAGAATAGTGGTAATACCAAAAGGACCTGGAATACATTGGTAGATATTGAAAAGGATGTGGGTGGTCTGGGGCGATCATGGGTGTCAAATCAACACTTTCAGGGGTCTCCCTTAAGGTGTGGTCAAAAAAGTCAAGATGGCAGCTGCAATGTTGCAATAGAAGCTCCACCTGTTTTTTATGTGCGATGCACAGATGACATCTTGACTCTACGGACACCCCAGGGCTGGATCTTATTTCAGGATTATAAATGATCAACTGTGTGCACCTCTCAAATGTAAAATGCTTAGACATCATTAACTTAAGCAAAGAAAGCTGGCATGTAAACTACACTTAGGATATAGATGCAGCTCTCTTAATAAATCACAAACTTACTAAAAGTAGCAGTGTCTTTAAACTCAGCAGTAACTTTTACAAAGAAAAAGGAACACACTACAGTATATAATACTGGCACCCCAGAGGAACTTCATAATATTCCCACCCCAAATTTCTGCTTAAATGGTTGTTTCATCATACATATAAGAACAACATAAACCTGTCTAAATATAATGTGGTAATATAAAATACAAATGGCTGGAAATAAAGAATAATTTTCTTGATAATTTATCCCAACAGCTATTCACACTATTGAAGTGATGCACATATTTGGTGTTTTATCTCCAAGGCATATAATCAGACAGCTAACATCAGAATAGACTTTTTTCCCCCATCTAGCATTACCAAAGTCTGACACTTTTGAAAATCATGTAATTGTTGCCTTCCTTCCTTCCTTGCAATTGGTGAAATACAACATAAAATGGCTACTAACATCAGAAGAACATTTTGAAATGAATATTATGAGCCATACTGGTTTTCCTTTGCAGTACCTTGAACTAAAAAAGAAGCAAAGGTGGAGGGAATCATTTGGAATTTGTTCACTGTTGTAATATTTCAAAAGCTCTCCCAATCTGTTTGATTAAGGACTATAAGAGAACAGAAAAAATGATGTGTTTATTAATAAGTAATAATTGCTCCCTCAAGTCTGTGAAAACTATCACGTACACACAGTCTAAAATGTAATCCAAAAATGTATGTGCAGGCAAAGCTCATCCTTCCCCAGAGAGAATTGGTATGCAATTTAGGGATTTTCTTGGACTCTTGTCAGCCTTCCCAGGTAGACCAGGCAGGAAACACAACCCGATGATCTAATTCTACTTTATTGTAAGGCTACATTAACAGAATCTTGCAAGTCTGAAAGTACAGATCTCCTGGCATCTCTTTTACAGCCCGGTAAATTAGGGAGGTTCCTTTCGAAGTTTCTTTCTCAGCCCATTATGCAGCTATGGGCTATGCCCCTTCTTAGCTAATTGTTCCCCAGGCAGCATCTCTTCCCCCATCTCCCAAGGTCATTCCCACATACCATTACACACTCACAGCTCCTGCTTGTAGAACAAGTGGCAGCTGTGCCCAGGAAGACTTTTGCACAAATCCATCTTGTGGGCGAATTGCATCTGTTCTTGGATCAGGAGCCCTTCTCATGGTCACTCATACCTTAATCACCTGTCATCTGGATTACTGGAATATTCTGTACATGGGGCAGCCTTTGAAGACCACTCAGAAGCTTCAGCTGGTCCAGAATGTGGTGGCACGAGCAGTTATGGCCATGCCAAATTATGCTCATCTAATGCCTCTGCTACATGAACTGCACTGGTTACCAGTAGGCTACTGGGTGCAATTCAAGGTACTGGTTGTCACCTACTGTATAAAGCCTTCCTGGTATATGGACTTGTTACTTAAGGTATCACCTTTCTCCCATGGGGTCTGCCTGTCCTGTAAGATCTGATGGAGTTGGCATGCTTCAGGCCCCTTATTTGGGTCCCAGAGTCAGCATGCTTCAGTACCTGCCTTCTGAAACAACACACTCCTAGACAGCTGAACAGTCCTAACCCTAATCTCTTTTAGATGACCCTTAAAGAGCTGCTTTTTTCCCCAGGCATTGGGCTAAGGCATGCTGTGGGCTCACTGCATAGTGGTTATCACATTACAGAATTTGTTTTCTCTGTGGCCATTTTCTCTTTTCTTCAGTTGTGATTTTTATGTGTTTAATCTGCATGCTGCTCAGAGTTGCTCTGAGTGGTTAGCCTACAAACGTCATTAATGAATAAAATAAATGCAGTTTTATTCAACTGTGTTTATTTCCATGGTCACTGAATGGAATTCTATATACGTTTTCAAATTCTATTATGTTTAGTATTGTTGATTCCCTAGTATTTTTTGTAAAGACACAATTAATTAAGAACAAAATTTAATAAGACTATAGTAACATAAACATGATCTTTCCTTAAAAAATCCATATGCACCTATACATTTAAGCAGAAACTAGTCCTTATTCAATGAAACTTGGTATGTTTTCCATCTAAAGGAATTTGTTGTTCCTAGATTTCTATCAAAAACTAATGTCTGAAATAGATACAATAATACTATACATTTCATAATTCTCATACTTTTTTGATGTTGTTCTTGTTAACCCCCTCCAAAAATATCTAAAATGTATATAAATATGTACTGAAAGATAAAAGGTGTTAAATATGTAAAATTCATTTTCTTGGAAATAAGCCTTTCAGAAAGAAATGGCACTTAGACTTGCAATATCAGAAAAGTTCATAACATATGTTACGGTAATATTTAAATGCTTGTTTTCCTGCATTTTTAAAACATGGAACAGAGCAATGAGAAAAATGATAACACGAACTTATGAATGAACAAATGCAAAGCAAACTTAGATACCTTATTCAAAGTACAGCTAGTACTTTTTTCAGGTGCCAACTACACTCAAGAACAACAAGATAAAGAGGATATTTTGCTATTCATAAAAATATCCCTCCTATCTCAAATGCCAGGCTGAGTAAATCAATAGATGGAGGACTTTAGATGTCATGACCCAAAATGAACGATTGACTGCTAATTCTGTTGGAATTTTGAGGGACCTCTGAAGGTGCAATTCCTTTCATACTCAAACCAGCAGGAAGTTACAATCCAAACACACCCAAAATAGCTTAAAGGGCACAAAAGATTACTTGTTTCTGCCAGCCTGTGCCAAATCTTTAAAGGTGAATTTGTTCTGCTGCTACTGCTATAAAGTGGGGAATACCTTTTGAATTTATTCCAATGCACACTTGAATCCTTTTTTTAAAATTTTAAATAGCAAGAGAAGGCTGGAGCTTTAATCTGTTTCCTTCCTTCCTTCCTTCCTTCCTTCCTTCCTTCCTTCCTTCCTTCCTTCCTTCCTTCCTTCCTTCCTTCC